GAACTGGATTCTTTGGGAGAGGGCCCAAGAAATCAAAATGTACTAGCTCAAAAAGATAGGTAATGGAAGTCCATGTCATAATGGAAGCAACAAAAATTTTGTGCTCGTTTCCTAGCCAGCCAGGATGTACGTAACACTGTCAAAATCAAAAGCTGGGTTTTTAAAGGCTGCCAGTTGGTCGGACTGGGTTTTGATCTTTTTCAAGAAATCAGTAACAAATGAAGAATCTTCCCAAGCTTGTTGTAGGCTTGTAGCACTGTTTAGAGTTCAAGATTGCATACACTCTATGCTTGTGAATATGAGGAATGGAGAGTGTCCCACAAGTCTTTCTAGGTGCTATCGTCAGAGACTTGAAGCAAGATTTCTTGAGATAAAGTGACTGTAGTCCAAGAGAATAAGGTCCGGTCGAAGGAGTTCCATATACGGAATGCAGAATCAGGAGTCAAAATAAGCTTCTCGATTCGTCATCTATTTGATTAGTTAAAACATGCTTTGGAGGCATTGAATCAATCCCATCAAGGTGGCATATGAGAATTTGCCATGAAGGAAGGGAGTTATTTGGTGTTTGCACAAAAGAAAACTTATGGAGTCAAGTTTAGTAATATGGAGGAGAATGGATGAAGAAGAAGATTTGGCCATGGGGAAAGAATTGTTTTCTTTATTTTTTGGAGGGAGGGGGGTAAGATTTCTGCTAGGGTTTCTCTTTTTTGGTTGGGGCCCACTTTTTTTGGGAGAGAGAGATCTTGTTTGTTTTATTTATTTATTTATTTATTTTGAGAGGGGATTTCAACTATATATATAGAGAGAGAGACTATGCAACGCCTATGGGCGAAAGTAAATAGTGTTTTCGCCCATAGGCTCATCGCTGTTTGAAAAAATCTGATTGCATGCATTTTTCGACCTCCATGGACCTAGCATGTCCGTGGTGATACATGCTAGGTCTATGATGGTCAAAAAATCACGCGGAACCGCAACGAACCACGTGTCTTTTGTTGCGGGTCCATGAACTGCCACGGACATATGTCCGTGGCGGTGGCGAAACACTATAACACTCTGCCTATATGTATTTTTTAGATTTTTCCATTATATATATGGGTTATTCTATGGTTAATACCCATAAAAACCCATTGGTGACGTTTAGGATAGGGTGTGAACATCAAAATGACTTAAAATGGCCTAATAAAAAATTTATATCTATCAAGATTTAAGGGCAAAATAGTCTTTTTCAAAATTTTCAGTTTTTGGAGCGATCACCTTTATCCCTCACTGCTCGAAAGAAAACAAAAAGGGGAAGAAAGAGAGATGTATAAGAGAATGGCCATTCATTCAAATTCTTCCACACCAAGAGGAAAGAAAAAGAGGACACGGACACCAAACAAAGAGTTATAGAGAGAGACAAAGAGAGAGAACAAACACAGAGTTATAGAGAGCGATAAAGAAGCCAAGAAGGAGAGAGAAGACCCCAAACTCCTCTCTCACTTGATTTTCCCCTAAGCTTGAGGACACCATACACAGAGTTACCTACACACACATGCACTCAGAGAGAGAGAGAGAGAGAGAGAGAGAGAGAGAAGCCCCCTCACTTGATCTTCCCCCTAAGCTTGACACCCAAAACCTTCTCCATCTTGGCAAAACCATCTGGTTGGAACCGCCTTTTCTCTCTCGTATTCCTGAATAACCTGTGGCCTCTCATTGATAAGCTTAGTGAGCTTAGCTTGACTCATCTTCTTATCCATCCCCGTCTTTTGAATTTGAGCCCTAACATCTTGCTTTAACCCTCTCTAGAGCTGCAAGCTCTGTCTCCTCGTCGAGCTTGCGGGGCGTTCACTGACGGTGCATTTGTGCCCTTCTTGTTGGACCCTGCATCGAATTACTTCACGGTTTGGACCTGAGCACCTGTTCTCATGGCTGCATTCACTGCCTTAGAGTCTTTAAGCTCACTTGCCTTTTTCTTCGTTTTGTGAATGATTAATGGTTCCCAGTCTTGGGTAATCACGCCAGGGTTCCTGTTAGGCATGGTTCCTAACTGAGATTGGCAACAGAGATTGGCTGGAAATTTTGAGCTTGAGAGAGAAAGTAATCCTAATCCCCCGTTAAAAAAATAGCGTGTTATGTGTTTTGGCTCCAAAATTGATATTTTTGTTCCAAAAACTGAATTTTTTAAAAGACTATTTTGCCCTTAAGTGTTGATAGATACAAATTCTTTATGAGGGTATTTTAAATCATTTGATGTTCACACCCTATTCTAAACGTCAC